ACTATGTTAGTTACAGTATCACTAATAACATCAATCATGCAAAAAATATATCAGTGCTGCACATAATCCTACTAACCACTGTTGGGGTTTCTATATCTTACATAGAAACTGAATGATTTTACCCAATATTTTGGGACAGTTTTTTAGACTCGGTGTTTTAACAAGCAAGAACATATAATAAATCAATACAATGCAACATGTGAAATCCAATGATGATGAATATTATATGCAAACAAGCTGGTGATTTGAGGTTTAATAAGCAAGGAAAATTAGACAGACCTACCATTTCTAAAGCTGATATTGTAAAACCACTATCAATAATGCTTTGGATAATATGGCCTGCTTTCCCTAAGGAAGAAAACATGCTGCACCATTAGTTATCACTTTAACCTTTTCAATTTTATTAAAACAGGCCTCAACAAATATTTTCTGATCTAGGAGTCAGCCCCTAAACTCATGATCCAGGTGTGCCTAACCTAACTTCACTACTGTTTATACCGGGAAATGGGGGCTACACTAGTGCCTTGATTATCTGCGCCTCTGCTATCGGTGATTCTCGATTATCTACAGTTTTTTCTTTTCCCCAAATTTTCTCAAAATAATTGTGCCATTACAATTCTAGACAATAATTTACATGTTTTGGAGAAATTGTCAATTTTGGTTGCAAAAGTTCAGGTGTTGCACGATATCCGGGAAATGGGGGCTACACTAGTGCCTTTATTATCTGCGCCTCTGCTATCGGTGATTCTCGATTATCTACAGTTTTTTTCTTTTCCCCAAATTTTCTCAAAATAATTGTGCCATTACAATTCTAGACAATAATTTACATGTTTTGGAGAAATTGTCAATTTTGGTTGCAAAAGTTCAGGTGTTGCACGATATCCGGGGTTTTCGTATGCAGGATCTGGCATGCATTCAAATCGTAAGTCAGCTGGTTCAAGCTTAGCCTTGCCTCTTTTATTTTTAGCTGTTAAGACAGAAATACAAAATTTTTGTAACTTGGTTAACTTTATTTGATTAGTGATTAAAAACATAGTATACAAAAACATACAAAATAAACATTAAGATTTCTTGAAGACTTCACTCAACTTCAGTTGTCATCTGCTGTTCTATGCTGCACGGCAAGCATCTTTTAACCACAAATGCATGTTCAGGTTGTGTTGGGGTGTTGCGCAGTAATGCATTGTCCTCCTCCATACAGATAATTTGTATTTTCAGTCTGTTTGAAAAAATGCTTTTTCATAATAATTCCCAAGCATAGATTTGCACTTAATGTTTGACTTATTTTTCACAGGCTTGAAATGGTACGAATACACTTTCATGTCTATAGCAGAAAAAGTGTTGAAATTTAGGATCTATTTATCCCTATGTTAGTGATTAAATTCAACTAAAATAAGAATGGGCACTCAAAAGAGGGAGTATTATAGGAGAAAAAGAGGAATTGGACTCGTGTAACTCACAAAATTCTGAGAAATCAAGCATGGCCAATTGACTGACACTTGGCTTTTATGATTATGATGATTTTTACAATTTTTCCTGATAATGTGATTAAACAACAATAACAAGATTATATTTTAAACAAGGAACTTAAGTATATTGAAAAATTTTATTTAGATTAAACAATGGGCTAACTACTGAGATACACTAGCGTCTTGATTATCCGCTGTTTCTCTTAACCATGATTTTTTGCTTTCCCTGGACCAGTGTAGATAATTGAGGCCTCAGCGTATATCTATTTACTTTCACAACAATGAGTGCATGCTAACGATCACATGATATCAACAACCACTTGATAGTATTGCCTGAATTAACTGCCTTTGGTAGTAATGTGTTGTGAAAACACATCACTTCATTCCTGAAAAAACATGAAGTACTGAATCAAACATTAAAATTCTAGAAACAAAGTCTCATTTAGGACTCAAAGAATGCAAAAATAGTTCCGGACTTCCAAGAGTCCAATACTGTTCTTGAATTGAGTTTTATTCAGCACAGTCCCATGAACAAATAAAATGGGAGAAAATACTAGGCGCCACAATGAAATTTTTAGTTGCCATGGTGACCTGACACCCAGGATTTGTTGAGGCCTGTATTAAAATATTCAAGTGGTATAAAAAATTTTTTCTCCATAGATCTCATTCTAGAATGAAAGAACATAAGCTTTGATAATATAATTAAACCACATACACTACTAACATACAACATTTTGTGCCTTCATAAAATATATTATTTCAAAAATTAGAAAATGCTAAAATTGAAATTTGGCATAAAAATATTTCACACTAAATCACCTCAATGTGTTTTATTTTTGTTTACCGAGTTTGGTGAAGATCAGTCGCATAGTTTACAAACTAACAAAGGGTAATGATCATATTAACTCCTCTTACTAAAATGGCACTGATCATAAATCTAAATCGATCATTCAAACAAAAGTACAAGTTCACAAATTTCACTGTATTATACAAACATTATAAAGGATGTATTCAATTCAAATTTACTTGTATTTTCTACTAGAACCTCTAATAATTCTACAGATGTTGAATAAATATTTAATATTTACTGCTGCTATTTGCAATTAAGGTTTCATAAATCACATGTAAATAAATAAATAAATAACTTCTGCCAATCTATTTATGCAAATGCTAATTGTAATATACAACACAAGTCAACTCTTACATCCTCCAACTTATTGATCATATCTATAAAAGTACAGTTGACAGTAAGATACCTTAACAGTGATACAAACTTAAGGAATAGTTCAAGAGCATAAACTGAAAGAGATGAACATAGAAATAAAACATTATTAGATGTATTACTTTAGAGAACAAAACTTTACCTTCTTGTACAGCATGAGGTTTGATAATACAACATGTGCAGTCTTTAAAGGTGGCAGTAGAACAGTGATGAGTTTTCTCTGTACTAGGGAAGAACAATTCTAGCTCCTGCAGTTTTAGATTAATAATTTAAAAAATACTTGAACTCAAGTGATAAGGACAAATAGTTCAAACCTGTAATTAGTTAAGTTCATATCTTACCAAATAATTTTAACTCTATATATACTGATGGAGTCTGTTGCTTTGTAAATACATTTTTCTAAACTATTTATGCACCAAACTACTTGCGGGTCCATCACCTTGTGGTTATCGGATCCTTAATAGCATGTGTTACACAAAAAAAATGTAAACAAAAATACTAACAATTATGTGATTAGTCCCAGGGCCCCTTTATATTTTACACTTAAAATGAGTGATTTCACCCAATTTTTGGTTAGTTTTTAACAGTGCATTGGTACAAAAAAAAAAAGATGATTTTCCTCAATTTCATACAAGTTGTTGGTCCCATGGCTGAACTGGGTGATTACGCTAATTAGTATCAGATAGACTAATCAATTAACTGAAATTATGATTTACCCTGTTTCAGCAATCCTTAATATTCAGACAGCTCCCAGTATAGAATAAATATTTGAACAGAATAAGATAGTTGTTGGCTCCAGCATGCTTTAAGATTTTGAAACTACTGTGTCTTATGTATCATGATTCATTATTCAATTGTTTCATAACCATTGTATTTTTTTCACTTATAATAATTTATCAAGTCGCCTTTCTCTAAAGTTTCAACCATAGCCCATAGGAAGAAAAAGCTATTTTTCGTGGTCCTTCTGTTTATTTGCTAAGTTGATTAATCAAAATTAGTGGCTCTGATTGTTACCGTTTTCAATTATTCCAACAACTGATTAATCAACTGTCATGAAAATAATCAATCAATCAAGATATTATTATTGTTTGTTTGTTTTTTATGTATAGTCCTTTACTCATCATTAATAACCTAAAAATATTCATAAATGTTTGTTTGTTAAGCACAAATCTGCAAAATAAGAGATTTGTTCTCTACCCAAATTTAGTGTTACAAGTTTGTTTTATTTTACTTCAAGCTATCTGCCACTCTCACTAATTTTGAACTGCTGACAAGACAGAATGTAACTGGCAGGCAGCGTCTTTTTTTTTGTTTGGCTTGTACATACCGTAGCTACAGCAACACTGTACTAATTGATTAATCAAATGTAACTGAGTAATGGAATCATTGATTAATCAATGAGAAAATACCACTAATTATCCAGCTCTACCCAATGATAGTGAACAGTATAAAAACTAATTAGTAATTTTAAGGGTTAAGATAAGTAGTGTCAGTTTCAGATGATGAATAGGAAAATTTCCTTTTGTATGTTACATACTAAGTGGGCTTATCCACATAAGACACTCAAAATCAGGTTTTTAATTACGTATTCTTTGACTTAAATGGGGATGAGCCAATGTTAAAACTAATAAATCTCTGCTGGCTAGCATTCAAATGCACTTGTGTATTATTCTGAAAAAACTAAAGCTTAAAACTATACAAAATACTATTCTGAGGATAAGCATCTTAATAAATTTCTACTTAGCAATCGAAACACATGGAAAGTAATTAATGAACTCGAAAAAACTTACAGTGGTTATAATAGTAAGCTAATTACATATCATATGTGTTTGATATCACTCACTTTTTTCATCAGAAAGAAAAACTGTCAAAGATTTTAAAATCCTTATTGAACAAAAATACATCTGTATAACTGGTTTAATACATACAAAATCTTATAACTTGGAATGTAAATGCTTGTTTAAGCAATTTTGTTAGAGATAATATAAAACTGACTAAAGCTGGAGATAACCCAAAATCCATGGTTGTCTTAAATGCTCTTACTACACAAAACAAGGTATTTGTAAAAATATTTGATCTGAAAAACAAACTCAAAACCATTTTTAAGTGGAAGAATCTCTTCTGAATGTTTTGTTTTTATTAATGCACTTACAATGGCATTTTTGATGCAATGGACTTGATGTACTAATTTTGAGAATAAACAAATGGAATGAAAACAATCAGTTTAGGGACTGTGCACAATCATACAATCAGCTGAGTACAGAAGAATGCTAAGAGTTAAAGAAAGTATTCTGTTTATTAAACACTTTATCAGCAAGCTTAAACAATACTTTCTGTAAAAGTTGTAGGTCAATTTTTGTTTAACAAACACAATTACTTGTTTAATGTGTCATACATTACTGTACTTCTTTCAGACATCATTAAACAAAAAGAAACTTAGTATAATTTGAGTAAGGAACATGTTCTCATAAAATACTAGGATTTTGACTCATAACTTATAGATTCTTCCTAGTTAGTTTTCAGCTAAAATAGATTTGATAATTTTATTGATAATAGTATCTGTTTAGTTATTTTACAGATAATACTTTTGATAACAATAATATTAATGTTTAGTAGACTGACTTTAAAAACTGTTATTTATCAGCATTTTGATTCACAAAAGTAATGATTAAATAAAAACACTTTGTTATTATGCTAATAATAACCATTCACCAAACATAAGTATCAAACTTTAAAATGATAGAGCTACAGGAAACAAATTTTAACTTAAATAATATAAAATTAAGCTCAAATAGCAGACTTTCTTTGGCCCTTGTATGTGTTTACAACCTCTAGGTCCTCCCCTAGATAGGTAGCCATTGTTATTTGCATTGCAGATGTTTAGACAATAATCACAGACAATCAAGTCTATCGAGAGAGAGAGAAATGGACAGAAAGAGGGAAAATACAGATAAAGGCAAATATTTTCCTTTGAACTTTACCTTACTGACCACTGCAGGAGAATGTGACCCATAGCAAGTATTCTGAAGCTCTGAAGAAAAATACAATGAAAGAAGATTGATTAGATTAAGTTTGATTTCAGAGTCATGTGTTCTAGCATTCTACTGCACATTTTTTTAACTATTTAAAGTAAAATAAAAAATTAAGTTAACGTATGCCAAATATATGACAAGAAGTGAATAAGCTACTGTAAAAAAAAATGTGGATAATTATAAGTGAAGTCTACAAAAACAGAGAAATGTAACGGAACAATAAAAAAAAATTCATTTTTTTAAGGGCAGATAAAATTTAAACACTATTGTCATAATGCAATAGTAACCCAAATGCTCACTTTCATATCATCAATACTCAAACCACAGACAGAATGAAGAAATTTGACAATACATATTTAATTATCATTCACTTTTAGGTTTACAATCAAAGTTTACTTGATGAATTTGTTGATTAAACTACAACCAAGTCAATACAATTGCATGCTATTACAAGTGATAGCAAACCTTTCAGTCATTCAAGTCTATGTTTTAAAAGAATTTGCAAACCTGTAATTTACTGTCAATAAGAAATCAACACATTTCTTTCAGAATAAAGGACCAACCAAAACATCAGAAAGCATAGTGAATAAGACATCTAACTGAGTACTTTTCATTAAAAAAGTTTCTGAAGTGTGGTATATGTTGTATAGGGAAAGAGTTAGTGATCTTGTTAATTCATACAAAAATATGAATAATAGAAACATCACTTTAATGGGCATAGTGTCAACTTTACATAACTGAGGGCCATGTGATACAAATATTTTTTGTGAACACTCCCAAAAACTGTGCCATGCTTGAATGCTTTGTTAACTTATTTCCACTTTCCAAATTAACGAACTGAATAACAAAACTTCTCTTTATGTTACTAAAGTAATCAGGTATGTGTTTCTCCAAATCGTTATTGGCTGAGGTAGTAATCTAGCTACAATTCTGGACAATGGGGAAACTTCTTATCACTCCTAAATGTTTTCATCTTAAGGCAGTGACTCAATAAGCAGACGGTGTAAGATGCAAGGTAAGGAGAAATCTAATTTGTTTTATATTTCTTCAACGTTTTGTTAAAAAGCAGTTTTATCATGCCCAATATGTTTATTTATTGGCAGTAATCAGAAATTCATATTTACAATGTGTAGAACTGTAACAAGTGAATATCTGATTATGACTGTTTTCAAGAAGAGTAAAAGTATTGTTCTGTTTTTTAAATTTAAAGATTTGCTCTTTTTATTATTTTCTTGAACAATTTAGAAGCACATAGAGGTAAAAATATTAGTTTCATTTAGTTTATGTATTATTAGTTTCGTCTAGAAAAGATTGCCTCACATTTAAATTTAGAGCACTTTAAAATCGTACAGCCTCCAGAAACCTAAGCAGCCCCAGGACCTTTATTTTTCTTACCATCATGGATGCAGCTAATTTTCTGGTGTACCACCAACTTATGAAGTTACCCTATGCCCTTGTACTGTTAGTATAACATGGATTCTAAAAAACAAGAATTACGCTATAACTGATACTATATATCATAATGTAAAAGACTGGAAAGTTTATTCAGTATAATTACTCTATATAGACTTGTATTCTATCGTGCACAAGTGAATAGCCCTATTTATTTTAAGCTTTATAGTTTAATGGATAAAAAAAGCATTTAAAACAATGCTTACCTTCTGGGTAACTCTTAAATAAATTTTGCCACTTAGTAACTGCATCTTCACCTCTTATTTGCATAACTAGAACATTTCCAGTACACACATCTTCCACAGTACATCTATGGTTTGGTAAAAAAAAAAAACATTGGACCAATATTACTTTTGAAAAAACAAAACTTAATTAATGTCAATTACTTGGAAGTTCTACATGAAAACACAAATAAGGAAATTCAAAAAGATTTTGCCATATAATTTGTGCTAACAATTAGAATTATTAGACAGTCTGTATTTATTATAATAACAGATTTTTCAAAGGAAGAAAACTTACTTTTCATGACTACTACAAAAAACAGCTGCCTTTTCAGGACAAACTGACATCATTTTGGCTTTTATTATTTGAAGACCATTTTTTGGGAATGTATCAATAGGTAATCCAAGTTTGGAAAAACCAGCATTCGTGATGACAACTAATACACTGAATTTAAAAAATATAAATTCTTAAATATCTTTATCTTTCCTAAAAGTAACACACAAAAATGAAAAACAATAAGTATTCAATGCCTTTTTAGAAATAAGAAAGATTACCAAGAAAACCATGGTTTATGGTAAATTCTTCGAAATAACAGTTGATCAAATGTCCAATTTTTAGATTGATTTTTCATTATAAATTTATGTATTATTATAAAATATATTAGAAAAAGTCATATAAATTACCTTTCAATAACCTTTTGAAATGGACTGATATTAATTAATACACAATATTATTACATCATGATATTACAATAGGCATTTTTATCAGACCATTAAAAATATTCAAAAATATCAATATTATTTATTTATTTTAAACCATGTAATAATTAATAATCTATGTTATATGCAATTCACGCAAGTAATCATATATATTATTTGTTTGTTGAAACACATTGACAACCAACAAAAGGTTCCTGATCACTCAAATGTTGGTCAATATGTAGCTTGTTCAGATTTTGTTCTCTCTTTATCACAGAAATGAGCTTCAATATATTTGAATGATTTGCAGAAACTTGTTGCAAAAAGCCATGATGCTATCTTTCTATAGAATTGTTAGTTTTTGGCAAGTCCTCCTGCATGCCTTTGTAGCAGTTACACATCTCAAGGTTAAACACAAGTGGACAGGCATTGTTGTCATCAATCAGGATTTCCAACCCAAGTATCCTCAAAATAATCAACCACTGGTTGAGCTTCAATTGTAAAAATGTGCTAGCATTCATTCTTACAGACCACATTGCAGAAATGTTGAACTTTCTTATTGATGAAAATGGAGAGCATGCAAATCTTTAAAGTGAAATGTTTTCATCAATAAGAAAGTTCAACATTTCTGCAATGTGTCTGTAAGAATAAATGCTAGCACGGAGAGCATGCAAATCTTTAAAGTGAAGTCTGCATGTATCGTATCTTTGCTTGAGACCATTTTCACTAATTTTATAATAAATACACTGACAAAATGGAAAAAGCACCCACAGTTAACTGCATGTAGATACTTAATGTTAATTGCATTTATCATTGCAAGTTTAAAATCTGTTAGCATAGACATGAGGCTTAAGGCAGGTACTAACTCCTTTATCTCTCTAATATATGTATGTTCATTTTTATTTGGCAACAATGCATATATAATTGTTCAAAAATATTCAGAACAGTCTTAAATGTTCCATCAGCATACAAATGATCATAACTTGCCAGTAATGCACCAGAGTCAAGCATTAAAAACTGTTCTCCATATCCAGTTTTAGTGTACTCTTATGGAAAAGCAATATTTCTTTGATAATTTGGAGTAACAAACCATAGATTTTGTTTCCCACTTAAATTCCAAATAGTTATTTTTTATGCTGTCTACGGATGGCAACTTGGCTGCCACAGCTTGGCTGAGTCCAAAGGATGCATGTGAGACAATATAATGAAGTTCATCAGATGTATTCTACAAATCATTTCATATGATGTGCATTACATTCTTAGCTTTAATACCAGCTGCATCACCAGAATGGTTGTGCTCACGATACTCTTGACTGACGTTATCACCAATTGTTATCACATGACCTTTGCATTTTTTTTCAAATTGCTCACAGTTCCAATAAACTTTTTCCTTCAATTGTTTATCTTTTAACAAATAAATTTCCATTCAACTCTAACTTAGGTCTGCATTTATCACGACCAACAAAATTTAACATTTTGGGGGAACCAGTATGCGATAAAATTATAATACCTTTCTTGATATAGTATACACACACAATGCACTGTGTTCAACCACTTCACAGGACTGTTTGTATACAGTGACTAATGGTCAGTCAAAAGCACTTTCAAATACACTTTTCTGGACATTTCAGATTACTCAACACTCCTTAGCAGTGACTAGCTAACACTGTAGTCACTAACCCTGATGATGGTAACTGTGTTACCAAACTAATCAGCTAAAACATCTATTAGGTTCGATGTTTTGTTGAATATGGAGATAAGAAATAATGATATTTTGATTACCAATTTCAAAAAGCAAATTTTGAAGGGATGTGACAAGAATTATCTGTTGTGAATTGGGCAGTCGAATTGTTTGGAGACACTGATCAGATGTGGAAAATTTTTAAAGATAAGTTTTTAAATATTCAAGATAAACATATTCCTTATAGTAATAAAGAGGTAGTTGCAAGTAAAAAAAACCAGGTTGGCTCACAAAGAGTTTAAGAGATAAAATTAAAGAAAAGCATAATAAATTTATGAAATTTAAATAGATGGGCATGACAGTAGAGTTAGAAGATTAAAGAAGATCAAGAAAGTTGCTGAAACTGGAAATTATGACATCAAAACAGATGTATGAGAAAAGGTTGGCTGAAAATTACCAGTAAGGATTTCTTTAAAGTAAACAAAATGTTAGAATGGAGGTAGAACCCTTAAGGGATGAAAAGGAAGGCTAGTAGTATCTGATGATTATGAGATAGCTAGGTTATTAAATTTTGATTTTTCTTTGGTTTTTACAAACGAAGATTTAAGCAGTATTCCCCATCTTGAACAGTTGATAGATGGAAACAAGATCAAACTAGATGACTGCATTAATTCTGAGCTGGTTAAGTTTAAACTTCCCAATTTTTTGGAACAATAAGGCTCCTGGGCCAGATGATATTTCCCCAAGGGTTTTGAAGGAGGTTAAGGATAGGATATGTGAGCCACTTGCTACTACTTTTTGTAAGTATTTGAATAGTGGGCAGGTGCCAAATGATTTGAAATTGGCTAATGTTACTCGTATTTTCAAGGGAGGTGATAAACATTGTCCCAGTAATTATAGGCCTATGAGTCTTACATCAGTTGTGAGAAAAGTTTTGGAAAATCTAATAAAAGATGCTTTGCAAAGTCATGTAACAAGATGGGTCATGATCTGAGAAAGTTTTAAAATCGCTGTACTAAGCACACTTACTAGAGGGGAGGAAAGAGTCAGTAGCATTTACTGATTGTAAGGCTATTCTTAAGTGAATTTATTGTTACAGTTATAATTCACCCACACCAGAGAGAACAAATAATGCTCAGTTACATATTGAAGTTCGCTCGAACCTTAAACATTTCGATCTGCATTCTGACAAAACCTTTAGACCATACCCAGCCTGATCTTGGTAACACTGATTGAGTACATTATATTAAAATTATATTACATTGAGACTAAGCAAATCAACAAGTAGCATGAAAACAACAGCTGTTATAAAGTTTCTGTGGAATGGCATGTATCAGAATTACATATGGTTTGCTTTGTTTGAAGTTAAGCACAAAGCTACACAATGGGCTATCTGTGCGGAATTACAATTAACATTGTTGTTTCTAGGTAATGTGATGTTATCAAAAATTGATAGCTTTAGGGAAGAGTACATAAAAGCCCTTTCTCACACAAAATACTCATACATTCACATCATAAAGGTGTGTTCAGATCTTGGTTTAGAATTTCTAAGATGACGATTTCCCTTGAACTTAATGACATTGGAAAACAAAAGAATATGGATCAACTTGAAGAACCACAACCATTCAAAAAGAGACTTGCAACAAGTCATACCACTATCATGGTAAACAAAATGTAGCTTTTTGTAACAGGTGAGAATCCAAGAACACAAAAGGCAGTGACAAAAACCGTCTACGTGCTCCAGGCAATTATACACAGGTTACTTTCACAACATATCCATTCAACCATTGCATATCTTAAGCAGCTGGAAAATTAAATGAATAATCATACTATTCCATACAAAGACATACTAGTCAAGTCACGAGATTCAGTGCCTATGAATTTCTGTGTAATCAGGCTGTTAAAATTGGCACTGGTAGACAGTCATTGTCATACGCTAGGTGAATTGTGAAAATCCTGTAGGAAGAGTGAGCTTAGGACATGAAAGCTTTACAATGGAGATTTTGCAATGAAAACTACATTGCAGGGTTGTTATCAAAATGCATGGTTGTCAGTTATAGCAGTGTTTTCCAACAACGAGGTGTGCGAAACATGATAGGCTTGATTCAATCTGAAGTTAGACAATTACTGTTAATACTGTTACAAATATGATAACAGAAGTCTCAGCATTTGTGTAAGATCTTCAAGCCCAGAGTTATCATTAAAGTGGTAATTTCTATGGAACAAGTATGCTCGTTTCTGCAATTTAGTTTATGTATATATTTATATTTGTGTGTGTTTACATACGTATATATATATGTGTGTGTGTGTATGTATATACATAAGAATGTATAGAATGCAATACAAGCGGTGCTTATTGCTTTTAGTGCGCATAAGAGAGGCTGCAGACCAAAAAGGTTGGGAACCACTGAGATAGATCATGGTCTGGGTTCTTCAGTTGATCTTAATGGCTGGTCATATGTGATGTCCATTAAATGGAAATGTGTCACTGCTAATGTAATTCACCATCACAGCTGATGTAACTACTTTATCCGCTACACTGTATCAGTGGTCTAGACATTCAATAAATAGAGATGGTAATGAGTTAGCCAAATAATTCATCAGTGCTTCTGCGCTACTGACCTGGGGGGTATTGAACAGTGTAGTATTATCCAATACATAACTGTACTTTCTAGATTTTTTGGAGCTTGTTAGCGATTTCAGTGATGCATAGTCCACTTGAATGGCGAATTCTCTACCACACAAGATGTTGTGGTAATGTGTGACAAATACTACAACTGCAAGACATTCTTTCTTTGTCATACAATATCAATGCTTTGGAGCACTCAGAATACAAATCACATAAATGGTCACTCGTTCTATATTGTCCTGTGCATGTAAATATGCAAATTTCACTATCAGTGGCATCTGCATTCAGGTTGAATGGGCAATCTTGACGAAGATAAACCAACATTGAATCTAAGTTTCAAATGGACAGCAACTGCCTGTTGTAGAAACCTACAAATGTAGAGTACGACGTTTCGAAAGTCTTCCGCCTTTCGTTTCTACAACAGACAGTTGCTGTCCATTTG